ACATGTGCCATGTCCATGATGTCAAAATATACGTATGCGATTGCAGAGTTAAGAAAAGTGTAGATGAGTAAGATGGAGCTTAAATCACTATGAATCGGAAGAATGGAGTAACAACAAAAACTTACAATGTTAGTAGTGAAACATGAAAGACAGAATTTATTTGTGATAGATATTGAGAGAACAAATTAAATAAAGTACTGACTTGGTTTAAATTTTTTTTTTGTTATTTAATATTTTGTCTCAAAAGTGAAGTTTTTGTGGCCTTTGTAAAGGTCTACAAATGACCCTCAGAAGCTCTAAGAATGCAGGATTTTGCTCCATTTATTTAAAAATTTTCCGGGGGGGCATGCCCCCGGACCCCCCTAGAATACTCGCGCCTCCGGCGCTCAGATCGAGCCTGCGGCTCTCATTTTTCCCCTTTACTTATAAAACGGTAGTAAAACAAAATAGCTAGATAAATCCCTGGAGTTCAGGGAAGACGGGACTTTTTGCATAAAAAAACATCATTTTTCTACCTCCATTTGACCCCCTGGGGCAAAATCAAAATTCCGAAACCTTACTGCACATCTACGTGACAACACCAATCATCCCCCAAAAAATGATAAGGCTGCTGAGTAAAATGTAAGAGAAGTTCAGAGAAGATGGGGCTTTTAGAATAAAAAACGTCATTTTTCGACCCCCATTTGACCCCCCAGGGCAAAATCAAAATTCTGAAACCTTACTGCACATCTACATGACCCCACCAACCATCTCCCAAAAGATGATTAGGCTACTGTGTAAAATGTAGAAGGAGTTCAGGGAAGACGGGGCTTTTTGCATAAAAAACATCATTTTCCGACCCCCATTTGACCCCCCGGGGCAAAATCAAAATTCCGAAACCTTACTGCACATCTACGTGACACCACCAATCATCCCCCAAAAGATGATAAGGCTGCTGAGTAAAATGTAAGAGAAGTTCAGGGAAGATGGGGCTTTTTGCATAAAAAACGTCATTTTTCGACCCCTATTTGACCCCCTGGGACAAAATCAAAATTCTGAAACCTTACTGCACATCTACATGACACCACCAATCATTCCCCAAAAGGTGATTAGGCTGCTGAGTAAAATGTAGAAGGAGTTCAGGGAAGACGGGACTTTTTGCACAAAAAACGTCATTTTTCGACCCCCATTTGACCCCCCGGGGCAAAATCAAAATTCCGAAACCTTACTGCACATCTACATGACCCCACCAACCATCTCCCAAAAGATGATCAAGCTACTGTGTAAAATGTAGGAGGAGTTCAGGGAAGAAAAGTGTGACAGACAGACGGACGGACGGACGGACGGACGGACATGAGTAACAACAATATACCCGAACTTTCTTTAGAAAGTGCGGGTATAAAAAATTAACCTTAATTTGGCAATTAACTTTTGAACAGGAATTACTAGGGATTTCTTTATTTCACATGTGCATTCCTTGTGACAAGACTTTCTTCTGATACTAACAGTTTGAACCCTTTGACCTTGACCTTTGAGTTTGACATATATTTGAGAAACTTCAACCTTCGCCATAGGCTTCCATACAGGGACATCAGTGTTTCACAAACACATCTTATCTTCATTATTATTTGGTGGTGTCTCCATATGAGGGAAAAATTCCCAAGAGAGATGTATTCACAACAAACAAACAAATTACTCATGAATATGTTGGTCATGCATATCTCTGCATGAAAAAAACAGCTTTTCAAATACTGCAACCATATTGTAACCCTTTCAAAACACTCATTTGAGCTTTTCTGATTTCCTTAGCATATAACGTCTGTCGTGACGTGTTGTCCATCTGTTTGTCTGAAAACTTTTTACATTTTTAACTTCTCTAGAACCACTGGGCCAATTTTACCCAATTCATATAGAAATAGGTACATTTGTATGTCAGACTGTCCACCTGTCTCAATAAATTTAACCTTGGTCATCACAGTCATATCTACTGAATGAGAAGAGAAATTCATATTAAACTTATGTATTAGTATTTACCTGTGAGAATTGCATGGGTTTTTTTTTTTTACATGTGACCTAGAAGTTTGACCTACTTGCAAAAAAATTAAATTGTTATAAATTCATCATTTTGAAAGAGAAAAGTTAGGGCATTCATATCATAATGCATGTATATTATTACCTGTGATAAGACCTTTTCAAATAAATCATGACTTTTACTCTGTGACCTTGACCTTGAAGCGATCAAGCCTAACCTACTTTTCAAAAATGTTGCATTTGCTTATAACTTTTGATAAAGATGAGATATGACTCTCACATTTGACATGTACATTAATTACTCATAAGAATTCAAGGTGTTTCCCAGCATGCGATGCTTTTTTACCCCTTGACGTTGATGTTTTACATAATTTTCAAAATATTTAACTCTCCTAAAAGATGATTAGGCTTCTGAGTAACATTAAGGAAGACTTCAGGGAAGACAGGGCTTTTTGCACAAAAAACGTCATTTTTCGACCCACATTTGACCCCCCGGGGCAAAATCTAAATTCCAAAACCTTACTGCACATCTACCTGACACCACCAACCATCTCCCAAAAGATGATTAGGCTACTGTGTAAAATGTAGGAGAAGTTCAGGGAAGACGGGGCTTTTGCATAAAAAACGTCATTTTTTGACCCCCATTTGACCCCCTGGGGCAAGATCAAAATTCCGAAACCTTACTGCACATGTACATGACACCACCAACCATCTCCCAAAAGGTGATTAGGCTGCTGAGTAAAATGTAGGAGGAGTTCAGAGAAGATGGGGCTTTTAGCATAAAAAACATCATTTTTCGACCCCCCATTTGACCCCCCGGGGCAAAATCAAACTTTCGAAACCTTACTGCACATCTACATGACCCCACCAACCATCTCCCAAAAGATGATTAGGCTGCTGAGTAAAATGTAAGAGGAGTTCAGGGAAAACAGGGCTTTTTGTATAAAAAACGTCATTTTTCGACCCCCATTTGACCCCCCGGGGCAAAATCAAAATTCCGAAACCTTACTGCATATCTACCTGACACCACCAACCATCTCCAAAAAGATGATAAGGCTACTGTGTAAAATGTAGAAGGAGTTCAGGGAAGACGGGGCTTTTTGCATAAAAAACATCATTTTTCGACCCCCATTTGACCCCCTGGGGCAAAATCAAAATTCCGAAACCTTACTGCACATCTACATGACACCACTAATCATCCCCCAAAAGATGATTAGGCTGCTAAGTAAAATGTACGAGGAGTTCAGGGAAGATGGGGCTTTTTGCATAAAAAACGTCATTTTTCGACCCCCATTTGACCCCCCAGGGCAAAATCAAACTTCCGAAACCTTACTGCACATCTACATGACACCAACAATCATCCCCCAAAAGGTGATCAGGCTGCTGAGTAAAATGTAGAAGGAGTTCAGGGAAGACGGGACTTTTTGCACAAAAAACGTCATATTTCGACCCCCATTTGACCCCCCTGGGCAAAATCAAAATTCCGAAACCTTACTGCACATCTACATGACACCACCAACCATCTCCCAAAAGATGATTAAGCTACTGTGTAAAATGTAGAAGGAGTTCAGGGAAGAAAAGTGTGACAGACGGACGGACGGACGGACATGAGTAACAACAATATACCCGAACTTTCTTTAGAAAGTGCGGGTATAATCAGGAAACAGTTCAAAATGCCTAATTACAATTTATATAGTAGGTTAGGTAATAATTGACTTTGTTTTATTAAGGCCACACTTACTGTTGACTTGCTGAAGAGCCTGTTCCACATCAGTCCCGAGTCTGGAGGCGTTGATACACAGGACAATGAGGGGTTTGCTTGACGACACGGACCTGGCATCAGAGGTGTACACAATCTCTAGTTGTCTCCCCCTGGTAGCCTCCAGATGCCCCATCAAGATAACTTGTAGCTCTGACCTCACGGCAGTAGAAATTTTCTCATTCATTGATGGCGCATATATGTAAACTTGAACTTCAACAAAAGAACAAGATTTATATATTTAGAATTATTGCAATAATGTATTTTATCAACTTTTATGCTTTCAATGTAAAAATTTAATACCGGTAGTTAAACTGAAATTTAGGGAGGATATGTATCTTGATATTAAGGTTTTACTTCATTAAATATTCACAAACTTTTTTTATTGTAATAAATGTACACTTATACATTGTCATGTACATTCAATTTTAATTATTTGCCAGTTTTTCAGCCAAACGATGCAGTTTCATTGTAACAGAGTAAAATCTTTATCAATTCTTTCGTAATTACCAGGTTTTTTACGCATTACTTCCTCTAAGTGACATTTCAATCTCTGTAATTCCCTCTCCAGTGCTCCGTTTTGTTTTTGAAGTTTCATTCTTTCATTATCTGTTTCTTTCAATCGCTTAACTTCTTTTTCCAGTTTTTCATTCTCACTTTGGAACCTTCTCCTTTCAAAATCAACATGTTTCTTTTCCCTCATTAATTCCTTATAATCTCTGTTCAAATCATCAAGTTGACGCTGAAGAACACTTGCTTTGTGAAAGTAATCAGTGTGGTCCCCACGAGAAGAATGTGATGTGTTCAGTAAGTGTTTAACCCTCTCCTTTCCATCAACAAGTTTCTTAATTGCATCACTTTGTGAATCTATTTCTGTATGCATTGACTCCTACAAATAAATTTAAGTAATACATGCATCTATTATAGAAAAGAAAGTTGATGTATCCATCTTAATTTGGATCATCTACAGTATATAGGGAAAATTTTGCCCCCCTCTTTCATATTTTCCCCTTTCGCCCTCATTGTAATCAAGCAAATTTAAACCAGGGGCCAATTCAAATAAAACAGCATATTCTCTCAAGCAGATCTAGATAGCACATTCTATCATTAAAATGATATATATTCTACGGACCCAGTTTAATGATAGAATTCATTCAATGTATTTGCAATGTGGCAAAATAAACACTGGCGATAATTCAAACTCAATGCATTTACTACAAAAAATCCAGAGGGGAGTTCCAAATGTAAAAATAGTAAGTAAATTTGAAGTGAGAAAAAAATGTTGACAAAAATAGTTGAATTTTTGTCTTTAAATTGAATATTTGTTGGGATAAAAGACATATACAATCTCTATCAGATTTGTTTTGAATAATTTGGTAATGTTGTAATTATTTTCAGTTCACCCTCTTTTGTATTCTTAAAAAAATCATTTTGGAGACTCAGGTTCAATCCGCTCTGATTAATGTTACATTGCATATGGGACATATAATTTCTACCTGTGGACTGAGGGCTTGTTTCGAGACACAGTTAGATTATTCTAACTAGAAATGTGTTTTGGCAAATTCAAAATGGGGCAAAATTATTTGGAAGTGTGAAAGGGCAAAAATAATTTGAAGCAAAAATAACAAAAGCCTAAACATAGTGCTGCTGTTTGTTTTTTAAAATTTTTTTTTATTTTATTAAGCATTTACCTTCAGTTTAGTACCTAAATTGATAAAATGATAATGAAACGGAAATTGTTTTCTGTGATTTAGTTTCGTATAAACGTTGTACCTATGTTTTCTTTCAATTTCTTAAATACTAAAAAATATTAATTTTACGATCATACAAGTAGTATGAAACTGCCAATATACTGGGACTGCACTGAGATAATACAAGGTGTATTATTGCGTATATGAGACCTCTCTGGTGACGGAGTTGATAAACATTAGTTTGTTTCTTCTCATATATATGGTTGTAAGACCTGAATAAGGCAGACAGTTGCAGAAAACAGACAGCTAAGTGTTTTATACTAACCAACATGCATAAGACCTGCATGAATAAGGCAGTCACTTTGTTTTGAGGAGAGGTGACATACCACACATAAAGGTGGGGGAAGTGCCAAGAGGCAGTACTATCGTGGCGGCAGGACAAGAAGAAATTTGCTTGCAGGAGATTCCCATTGACCAAAGTTAGTGGTTGTCCAATTAAGAAGAAAACGTTTGTGTTGTATTATAATTGTTTATATCTTATCTGGTCATCAAAAATCTGAGTTAATAGGTTAACGAACCTGAGTGTAACGCCTGGTGATATGAGACATATCACCAAACACCAAGCTCGGCCGCATTGCTCGTTACAATAACATACAAGTCTTTTATTGCACTCCAAATTCACAAAAATGAGCTAAAACATAGTTTCACAGTTGATAAACTTAAGGTTTATCGACTGTAAACTATAGTTTATATTTTTAACCGTGAACTATATTTAACAATTAGTTTACTATAATAGTTTTCATCTGTAAAACTATATTTAACGGTTGTAAACTATAGTTTACAAATGCTAATCTAAGTTTATCTGTCTGTAATAGAGCATTAACAATAGATTTTGTTGATAAACATAGATTCACGTTTGTAAACTATAATTTACAATCGTAAACTATAGTTAAGAGTTGTTATATAGTTTCACAAATCGTGAAACTATATTTATCAGATCATTAACTATATAGTTAAGAGTTGTAAACCATAGTTTACAAATCGTGAAACTGTATTTATCAAATAATCTATGTTTTGCAATGGCAAACAATTGTTTTCGGAGTTATAAGTATAGTTCACAGTTGTGAAACATAGATTAACGTTGTTAACTATAGTTTACAGTCCATAAACTACAACCGATAAACCTAGTTTATCAACTGTGAAACTATGTTTAGCTCATTTTTGTGAATTTGGGGTTCCACAGTCTTTTATTTATTTTTTCTTTACTAGTGTACTCATCGACATAAGTATACAGTATGAGATAATTATTCCTAAATATTACCGTATATACTCGCCTATAAGTCGGTCCGCCTATAAGTCGGTTGTATTTAATAAGCTGATATATCAGATGTACTGACCTCATATAAAACCATACTTTTAGTAGCTCGCCTATAAGTCGGACAAAGAGTTTTAGACGGTAAGACCATAGATTAACTCCCAAAAAACCGACTTATAGGCGAGTATATACGGTATTTTTTGGTCAGGATCACTCGTTTCCTAAAATCAAGGGAAAAAATGCTTCTTATTTGTAGGATTAATTTGTCAGCCTTTGCTGCTGACCCGTACCAGCCCGGGCTTTGCCCTGGGGCTTCAATGCAGCCCCAGACACCCTGTCAATTTAATTACTTATAGTGGCGGATCCAGGAATTTCATTGAGGGGGTGTCTTCTAGCTATTCCCACTTTTTAAAAATCTCAATTCCACCTATTCCCACTTGCAAATAAGAATAGATGTTTAGATTTACCGGTATTTTGTACATTTTAAGACAGAAAATAATGAATACATCTATGAGAAAATATGATTTATTTCGGATTTTTGAAATAATAAAAAGATCTTACAAGAAAAAGCAACTTAATACCTAAATTTAAGAACATAGTTAATTATTTGTTTACACAAAATTCCACCTATTCCCACATAAGATCTTACCTTTTTCTACATGATTTTCAAAAAGTGGGAATAGGTAGAATAAACCGTAGAACAAACATCTATTCTTATTTGCAAGTGGGAATAGGTGGAATTGAGATTTTAAAAAAGTGGGAATAGCTAGAAGACACCCCCTCAATGAAATTCCTGGATCCGCCACTATAAGTAATTAAATTGACCTAATGTAATCACAGTATTATATATCATATTTAAATAGCCACCTAAAATTAATTAATCATTTGTAACTTATATACTGTGCGAGTGTAGGTGCGACAATGCTCAAGAGTTTATAGTCAGTCCTGCACTATATAACATTACGAAGAAGACAGACAGGTGACTTCTATGGCCCATGGCAGTGGCGGATTCAGGGGGATTTGGGGGGTTCGGACCCCCCCCCCCCCCCGCTCACATATTTTTTTTTTTACAAGTGTCATTCTATCATTTTGATGCATTGATAAGACTCTAATAAACACGAATCCATTGTTCTGTACAACTGTGAAATATACATCAACTACGTAACAGGAAATCACTTTCCGCTTGAACGCACACAATACACAGGTAATCAACAGAGAGATTAGGGTAGTCCGTGCATCTTGTC